AACTGATTGTGTATGTATTCAGTACCCAAGAAGTACTAAATAGTACCGTTGTATATTAATGTACGGGTTATCGATATCCAGTGTACTGGTTAGCTTCCAAATCCCGCCAGCCAGTACATAAAAATATCGGCGTCCTTCATAGGTAGTAAATTTTTCCTGTCGTTTTAAGATAGTACTCAAACGGTACTACAGAGTACTGATGTACTGGCTACCTTCACGCACGCTCTACAATTGACACATACCAGTTTGATTAACCCCCAATCAAGATTGATCGATTGAGTTGATTACTGAATTTTACCACAAATAAATTGCAGAAAAACATCTAATATTAGAAAATGTAAACGCGTATAGATACATATATAAAAAATAAAAATATTTAAGATACAATAAACGATAAAATACAGGTATAAATATATTTCAAAACAATTTGGCGCCCCTTCTAACCTTTACATTTGCAAAGTAGTCTATGATTGATTCTAAATCCAATGTTTCTGCTATTTTTTTTTCGACATTCAAAATGCTGAAATCGTTCAGTCTCTCTTCGGTTAATGTACTTCTTCGAGGTTGCATGATATGTTTTAAAGAACTCATAACACGTTCCACATTGGCTGTGCTCACTGGAAGCGTTAAAAATATTCTCAGAACGGCAACAAATTCTGGGAAACATTCTTCGAGATTTTTGTTCAATATGAATTCTAAGTACTGTGATACGCACCAGTTCTGGGAGATCATCAACCCTTCAGTGTAATTTGTCAATAGGATTAGTAGGATAGGATATCGGTAGTAAGCATTCCAACAATGTTATTGTTATGACTTCCGACTCTATATGAGATATGATGGGCGCCCAAACCATTTTTTTTTCGCAGAAAAAACATTTTTTATTGGTTAAGGGGCCTCGAGGGACTTCGGCCCCGTAGGCGAAGGCCTACTACGCCCACCGTTAAATCCGCCACTGCGAAGGACATTGCCTTACTGATAGTAAGATACGGTTTTTAGCCAACGCTTCGGAAGAAAGTGGCCATCTACAATGACATACGTGAGAACAATCGATCATAACTTTACAGAGGTCGCAAGATAATAAATACAAATCCTGGAGGTAACAAGTTCATTAAAAGTGAGATCATATAACCCTAAAGGGGTAAAAATAGTTATTGATTAATACGCTAGAAAGTTACGGAAGTTGTTTCTTGGTTGTGGATCGAATCTTGTTATCAAATCTGGTGCATGACCCAGTTTCAGTAAATGGCGGCTCCCTTATTAGTAAAGGAAAGGCCGTCAAACGGTGTCGTTAGTTTGTGCACATATAGTGACTTTACATCAACCTCGACAGCAACTCATTTTTGATCACCCGTTACTTAAAAGCTGGAATTGGAACTGGTTCTTGAACTGGAACCATAAATTAAAGTAGCCTTGAACGTGACATTAAAACTGGAAATTAAAATCTTAAAAGAAATTAAATGTAACCCTCGTCGTTGATAACCTTAAAATGTACATATCTCTTTAAATAAGAGATATATAGATGAATGTGCAACAATCGTCGATGGAAAATTGTATTAAAGATCAGCAGGAACATAAAGAAGATATACGTCAAACAGATTAAATGCAAATGGCGTACTTAGAATGAAGAAGAATAACGCAACTATATCCTCCTACTGGAGTGACGGGTTGAAATTCCATTCACAAATTGATGCGGAATTCCCCAATTAACCGAATTTAATCGTCAAATATGGGTTGGGGCAATTAAAATCCCATGCGTTTTGCTGTTTGATTAAAAATAAAGTGCACTCTGCCACAGCTGATGAACGAAAGAGGAAAATTAATGTTAACCATCGATAACGAAAAATTGCAGCGGTGTGAAATTACGCGCTGGTAATTGCCTGTTTAAAATTCCAAGGTTACAACTGTTACGAGAATCAATCAATAAGTACACTGAAAGAAAATTGCAGTTGTTATTATGTTAATTGCAAAGTAGAACACTGCAGAAAAACACACATATAGTGACAGCTACAAGTTGCACGAATAGTTTCTAAAAACTTGTCGAATCAATTTTGCAACAGTTATACTTGCATTATTCATAATCTAATCAGGGAACCATTGTAGTAAATTTTGCCGTAGTTTATTAGAATTTTCATGCATATTTTATAAACACTTATCGAAAATTGTAGCAAGAATTATTACAAGTATTTTCACATTTCTTTATAAAGTTATGCAACCACTACTGCAATTCTAGTAAAATTCAATTAATTAAAATATAAAATCATTGTAAAATTGCAGAAAATACTTTAACAGTATATAGCAAAAATTTACTGTTAGATTTCAATAGATATTAAAGTGTCTTATGAATTTCACTGCAATAACTTACAAAAATATTTCCAAAACATTTGACTGCTTATTGCAATCTTATTTAACGGTGCTACTTAATTGTAGTAAAAATTATCAAAAAATAAATACTTATTTGATTTATTTAAAAAATAAAAAGCATATTTACAATACATATGTTTTAAAATAACAAATAATAATTTACAATACATGTTTCAAAATAACAAACAATACATCATCTTTTAAGCATTTCACGAGAGGAAAGTTGTCACATAAGTCATTATAATTAATTACAACAAGCTGATCATTATCTTTAATTTCGTATGCTTGATATTTTTCGTTAAAATTTAATGTTAAAGTTGCAGAAACTAGAAAATAAACAACGTCCTCCATCACAAAAATATTTCGTAGTATACCAAATTCAGGTAAATTCCCGTGTACTTTCAAAACAAGTACCATTTCAGGTTTGTAAAGAGTGCCTAAAATTTCTATCCTTTTTACAGTAAATATATTGCGTGGCATTTTCAGAAAATACATTTTGTAAGTTTCATCATCAACTGGTAGTTTAGAACCAAAATTATTAATAAGTAATTTACTTTTATCAAATGTTATTATGTCATAATAAAATTTTAGTTGAGTTTTAATAGTTAATGTGTGAAGCATATTTTTATATGATCCAGAGATATTTGAAGTTAGTTTTGAAATTCGATGTTTTTGTTCATATCTCATACTCCAGAGATGAATTAAGGGACCGGACATGGCCAATATATTTGGGTAATGGACCATGTGATGAAATTTTGGTAGTAAACGTATCTGAAGACGTTTGCATAAATTGTGGTGCTCTTCAATTAACGACTTTAAAAGTATGTTTTCATTAAATTGAACGCTAGGAGATAATGTTATGTCCAATATTGCTTTTAGTGTAATCCATAAATCCCAGATCGGTAAATCTAAATTGGTTGGTATAAAATCTCCTATAAGTACACCCAAATATCTTGATAGGAAAAGCATTTCTGCTGCTGAAAACTTTAATTTGCCTTTTAACATTTCGAGTGTAATTACGGGAGGTTTATTGGCCGTTTCGGCGCCAAATGTATTGAAACCTAATATTCTATTGTTTAATGTTGTTAAGGAAAATAGTTGATATTCTAAAATTAACTTATTTAGAATTATAGTCATGTCATACATGCAGACTCCTTCTAAAAGGTCATGCATTATGTCTACTGCAAAATTTTCTACTACGTGAAAGTTTTTTATGTCATTCCAAATACTATTTTCTTTTATACCAGTTTGCGATAAGTCATTAAGCTGTAAATCTGATTCATAATTTTGAATAGTTCTTTTAATTGTATCGTCACTACAACAAGCAGTATAAGAAACGTTTTTTGGTATTTTACAAAATCTACATCTATAGGTCGCTGAAAAGCTTTCCGTAAAACCTAACATTGTGTGCAACGCAAGATTATCACCCAATAACAATGCTAGTTGGAAATATACCTTTTCTTCTTTATTTCCATAATTAACAACTATGCCCTCGGATTCTAAACTGTTTAGTTCATCAACAATTGGCTTAAAAATATGTTTATAGCCTAACCTTTTGTCATTGGTATAAAATAAAGACACCAAAAATATACTTTTCAAGGAGTAAAAGTACTGAGGTAAACAAGGTATAGTGCAATATACTGCACCCAATTTATTTGTTCCAGCCCGAGAACCTAACGCATTCCCCAATTCGTAGTCATCATAGTATAAGAATATCGGAAGAGTAAATTTATCAGTTAATTTCGACTTCCAATGTTTGCCTTGGGTAAAGTTGCTGAACACCTTAGAATTTTGCAATTTCGTTAAATAATGTTTAGTATCTTGCAATACGCTTGGTAATTCCAAAATGTTTTTAAACATTTTTGCCATACTAAATACTTTGGATACGTTTTCATGGGGCAATAAAACGTTGTCGCCATTTTTCTCAAGTAAAACCAACGAGTGCCCAATAACATGATCTGATGGCTCAATAAATGCTGATGATCGACTAAAATATTTAAACCTTTTGTATTCGGTATTCATTTCCTGAAAAATAGTTTTTAAGGCGGATATAAAATCTTTTAAATTTTTATTACAGGTATCATCTTGTATCTTTGAAAAGTAGTTTAACTCCAAAAATTCTAATATTGATATAAACAAAGATTCTGTTTTATGAACCACAAACTGTACAAATGATCTTGGAATTAAGGAGTTTGAGTACATTTCCAAAATATATTTTACAATTTCGTTTTTTAGATGTTCAATGATATCCTGAGCACTTGTATTTTCTTCTTCATTATTTTCTTCAGTATTGGTATTACGAAATGTGACTGGGTCAATATCATTGCTAGAAGAATCATCTATACTACTGTCGTACCTAGTGCAATTTTCCTTAGTGACTGTACTTGCATCTACTGTAATATTTATGGGTGTTACAATGTTTTGTGATGGAGGCGATAATTTTGAAACCCCGTGAGTTTTGAGGTGTTTGTACAAAGAGTTGATGCTGCTAAATTGTCTATGGCAATTACTTTGCTTACAAAAAAATGTTGAACATTTTTTCAATTCGTGTTCAATTTTGTAATGAAAAAATAATATTTTTGTGGATTTACAAGATTTTTGACATACAAAACAAATAAACATTTTTACTTCCTATAAGAACAAAAATTGTTAGTAGTACGTAACTTAGGTTCCTAAATAAGACGTTAAAGCCGATATGAACCAAAGCATTACGCATTACCTAAATCAGACATCAATGCATTCACTGAAATGTAATTCCTATCAAATTTTGTATGAATGTCGTATATATATTTTTGTAAGAAAGTCCACGCCGCATCACATTCTTTAGAGTATTCTGCATTTAGAACATGACATGCCTTAAATGTGATATCTACAGCTTTCAATAAGGTATCAACTTTCAACAATTCTGTGTTAATGCTCACATAACAACTTTCGATGGAATCTATTTGCTTACATACCACCACGGGGACAGGTTGCGTAGTTAGCTTAAATGATGCTAATTTACGCTGCCTTTCCTCAAGCACACTTTGAACATCGCTACTCTCTTTAACAAAAATTATAAATCCGTTCAGTGATTCGATTTTAGATGGTCGCCAATGCAAACCCACTTTTTTGGTTTTAATGTTCACCGTATTAAACAGCAGGGGCAGTACACGCAACGCGAAAATTTCGTCCAAATCTAGAAACAATTACTATAAAGATTGAATGTATTTGAAATATTCATACCATCAGATTGGATAGCTTTATAGTCATCCAGCAAAGATTTTATATAAGCGTCCTTTTTTTGTTTAGCAAATGTAATAATTTTTTTCGCAACCATTGGCCATTTTACATAAAAGACTGTTTCTTTATTGGGGTACGTGTTGTCGAAATCAATTTCAAACTGAAAAGAACTATTGGAAGAAATATCAATATATATAAGTAACTTACGAAATGATACGACAAAGGACTTCTCAATATTGGGTATTGCTTAAAATATTGGTCAATGGAGACCATTCGATTGGCTCTCTCTTTAGTTGTGAGTTTCCAATAATCTAGTACCTGATTCTTAGGTTCAGTATTATTTTTAAGCCATAGTAGAATATCTTCGGTTTGTTCATCGGTATTTTCGGGAGCAGCTTCTGTTGAACAAATTGAAGTTAAATTACTAATTATTAAAGTTAAATTGCTAATTATTAACGTTTTATTATTTTAAATAACTACATAGGTAGTTACAAAATTTTATTAGGTAGAACCGTTGTATGCAAGTACTACTAATTACGTTTAAAAATTTTTGTGATTACCTGCCTGTCAAAATTTAAAAAAAATGTATACATATTTCATGAAATGCTGTTTTGTTTATTCTGCATTTTTTGAGAATAAAATTACTCATCAAACAAAATCAGTTACTTCATAACTGGTATAATAAACAACTTTTAAATAACATAAATCAACGTATCCAATGATTTTGGATTAGTTACATACCTGAAGTAGTTAAATTTTCTTTTTTTGCCAGCAAACCAAATTTTTTTAATAGTTGGCGTTGGTATAAATACACATTAAATAGTTTCCCTCTTGCTGCTTTTGGTTTTCCTGCATTATTTACATAGGGCACATAGTATACTTCTGGCCTTTCATGTAAGAAAAGTTGATTAATTTGATCAGCAAGGTAATGAAACCTTTCAGACGAAATCCTGCAAGAATTATGCACGTATTAATGAATAATTTGTAACAGATATATTTTAAAGCAAGAACACAATTAGTCAAGTTAAGTACCTAACCATACAAGGAACGAGGCACGTAAAGTTTGATAATCTTAGGTGCTCTTTGTATGGGTACTTGTGTCCTTAATGTTTTCATCAAGGTAAATATAACTAGTAGGTATCTATTGTAGAAATGAAATAAAAAATGGGCACCTTTTGGTAGTTGATCGCTTTAACTCCCGCCTGATTACAAGCTCACAGAGTTTATTTCGCATAAACTGTTTTCCCTCACCATAGCTTGCTATCACCAACTTCCCCTCCTCACAGTCTAAAGCTTCTAGAATGTCCTGTAAATAATTAAATAATAAAATCCATAAGTTAGGCAATATAATGAACTTACGGATGTTATTACGTTGGGATTACATTCAAATGGTGTGCCAAGTGCGGCACGTTGAGTATAAATGAATGTACTTTCTTTCAGCTCATCTTTAAATTAAAATCTTATAATTGGTAAATTGGTCTATAAATTATATAACTACCTAAAGGCAGAAGTGAGGAAGATGTTGACCCAGACGGAGCTGGAGATGCAGTTAAAGTAGAACTTATATCTGTGGAGATATCGTCACCTCCACCACCAGGGGACTCCAATGAATCTACGTATATTAGCTCATTCTCTTTTGATGCCTGTAGCAAATAAGAAATTTAAAAATACAATACAAGCAAGTGAAATACTTATTCGAACCTCATTAATTAAAAAAGTTTGGTATTTGTTCCAAAATTTAATTCTTATTCCAAATGTCGGAATGAGCTCTTTGAGATTCTCCAAATTTAGGCAAAGAAAAACGTCGCGATCAACTTGTTGTTCTGGAAATATAAAGCAGATAAATACATGCCGCACAGTAGGTACAACGCAATCTATTTAATCTTTTCTTATAATTTGATTTTTTTCAATTTAATTGTTTTGCTTTATTAGGATTGCGTAATGTAATGAAATATTATAAAAAATAAGTCAAACATTAAAATACATTACCATCGTTTAGCGTTTATGAGTATGGCGGAAGCGGAGGTGTAGGAAAAATGCACAAAAGAAAAATTGAAATACCTAAAGCAAAATACTTACCGTGAAATGACTCCACAAGATCTGTAAATCCCCATTCTAATAATTTGGTTTTCACAAACTCGTCCATCTTACCTAGGTACAAGCGTTTTTTTTTTGGATTAAGTATGCTCTTACAGTTAAACACAACACTGACGCAGTAACGACCATGTAAAAGGACGTGGAATTGCTTGGTTTAGCGCTTTCTAAGTACAACACAGTAGTAACTGATTATACAATTTGCAGCTTCGTATGTCGAGCTTGCAGTAAAAAGTGCTGCAAGTTTTGTGAAGGCTTTTTATTTATAAGCAAAACTATTTGCATAAATTGCGTTAATATATTAAATAAAGAGAGTATTGTTATTAGATATATTGCAGAGGAATTCACCGAAGTAAGAACACTAAAATAATGGGCGAACTTTTCTTGCAAAAACCTTAATTTTTTTTAAAGACGAATGTTTGCAAGATAATATGAAATATTACTGTTTGAAAATGTATTTCTTCTTACAAATTTTTGAAATTTCATACGCAATATCACTCGGGCAATTTTGCAAAAAAAATTTATAGTCATGTTTTTTCAGTGTAAATATACCGGGAACAATAAAAATGCTTCTAATGAAGAAAATAAATCGTTACTGTTACTAACTTACGGAAGAAGAACATAAAGAAGATGTTCTTTTTTATTAGTCATCGCAAAAATAAATCTGAAGACTGAGTGCTTTCTAATATATGTTTAGAAGGAGCGCATAAAGTAACAATCGTCAAAATCCACTTGACTTTACGGTTTGTAATAAATGTTATAAAGAGTACCTTTTTAGCGCTTATATTAAATTCATTCATATTTATAACACTTCATAATTGGGAATTTCGGGTTCTGATGTAAGAGCATATGATGTGGGCTCGGGTGTGGCAGTATGAGAGCGAATATTGACATCCGGTAAAGTTGAAGTTAATGGGGAATTGTATCCATGAGTAGTAGATGGATGTCGGAGATTGGCCATTGGTTCTGATTTGATATTGGAATTTCTTGTCGCGTAATTTTCTCAATTTCATACTCTGAAACCATATACATAACTTCGGCTTTCATTTTTGCTTTATCTATTGGCGAAAATGTTGAAGCTGACCGACTCTTAAAAAAACATATTTTTTTACTACTACCGTCTGATTACATAATTATTGACCTTTTTTTCACTTGTAAAGTGGGCTTTCTTTCTCGGTAGTTGTTCAAAGTGGTTAATAATGTGGACATTATTAACTACTAGTCAATAATGAGAACTGTCAAGCTGTCACTTTTAGAAATCACAACCCAAAATTTCGCTCAATAAACGTTCTATAAAATGTATAATTGCCACCACCGTCATTTGTAGAGAAATTACATACCTACAATTATCACATTTTGAAAAATCGAACGAAATTACTGTTGATTCTGTTTACTAACATGGTGAATATGGCGATTGTTCCAAATCGCGTCAGGCGTAAGGCGAAATAGTTCGACATTATCTTGCTTGTAACTGAAACTCAACTTACACAAAAAAAAACAACCTGGTCAGCCTCTAACGAGTGTGGCATGCTTATGTGGTGCAATAATATGAATGTTAAACATGAATAAGCAAATGTCTAAGAAATATTACTACAATTCCTAACATTTGGTCACACCTCTTTTATTGGCATGATACTTGGAAATTATAAGTAACCAAATAAAAATTTCCAATGGTGCAACATCGATTATTAACGAGCTCCTAGCGAGTTTATAATTTTGCGGTGTCTGTCCGTTAGCACGATATCTCGAAAACGAATGGACCGATTATTTTGCAGGTGGATTCTTTATCAAATTTGTAGATCGGAGTTCGTAAATTGGCAATGTAGGCCAAAAAATAAGGAAGACCCTTTTGACATCTTCGTGAGGTATGAACCGAATTGCATGAGATGAGATGAGCCAAATAAAACGCAAATACAAAAATTGAGCCTAATCGATCAACAGTCACAGTACCCTTTTCGCATCTCGACCATTTACAAACCGGATTGCAAACTTTCTTATTTATGAAGGTATTTAAATGAAATTTGATACATAGGCACTTGGAATAAAAGCAAATGTAGCGCCATTCTCCAAATTTGGTTTTGTGCAGGATATGCAGTGCCCACTTTCATATTTATGGAAGCAATTAAATGAAATTTCATACATATACACTTTAAATAAAAGCAAAACTAACATCAGGTTTAAAATTTGGTTTTGCACATGCTATAGCCATACCCAGGAGCGTTTTGTATATTTGTTTAGTTTATTTTAGTTTTTAGATAGGTCTTTACTAAACAAGTTGGGCGCTATGAGCAATTTCACATATTATGTTGGTTCGATTCTTTGCTGTGAAGCATAATTTTGTTGAACTGACGGACCATTCGTTTGCCACGTACTGCATATATTGGTTCCGTGCAGCCAATCAAAGGCAAAAGCGGGCAAATGTGTAATAGCATCTTACGAAACCGAAAGTCATTGTGTTATAATTGACATTAATCAGAATTAAATCCGTGTTTATTAACTGAACATCGTGAAAGGAAGTAATTCATTTTCCTAATAAGTCAGACAATCCTTAAATTAATCATCTCACTTACTTTTCTGCCAAATAACTCTTCAATTCATTTATTTTTAAAAGTAAAATAAAGTAATGGTGATTGAAATGTGCGGTAGAGTAAAACTGACAGCATTATTATTCCACGTAGACCGGTAAGGCTTTTTTCTTGCGAATATACACAAAACGGTACATTATTTGCCCTTTGAGAAAACAGAAAACGAAGAGAGAATTTAAAGTCAATGAAAAGTCAGCGTTTGTTTATTTTTTTCTATTTGTACGGCAATAGATACTGTACCCTTTAAGTAAATTTCGCGATCCCTTGTTTTAGTTTGGAACTTTTACAACAGAAATGTATATGAAATTTAATGTATAAAGCGAATGTGTCTTACACAGATGCATATGCTTTAATGCAGAAATCTAAACAGAACACTAATTCAGATTTAATTTTACAGGTGAACTACCCGACTTATATAAAAGAGGGCATGCAACTTCATATTCGAGCGTGATACAATGACACTTGTGGAATTCTACTTTTGACGATTCACACATAGAAAGAAACAAACATAATTTAATGAGATTCACTCGTAAGAACCAGGAAATTACTGTGGATCTCAGTGGAAGGAAAAGATGTATATTTTATTTCCCACTTCAACCGCTCAATCTTTTATCATGTACCATTAGCCTCTCGTGCCCTTTCTCCGCTGGTTAAGGTATTATTGTGGCGAATATTCTAGAACTCCGGAGAGACATCGCGGCACCTTCAACTCGATAAAAGATAGTCACCGGCATTAAGAGATAAAATCCAATGCGACGCACTTTTTTTCTCAACGAACATCCCAAGACCAAAGGGAGATTTTGGAATCAATTAAAAAGTTCGGCAACTCCAGGACCTCGAGCCATATAATCGCGACAGGAAGACACACCTGTTTAGGTTTATAAAAAAACCTTAAAATATTAGACAATTGAACACAACCGCACTTGCCAATTTCATACAATTTAAATGTTCTTCATCTGACCTACGTTAGTTTAATGAAGGACGAAATCATCTGCGGCGTGAACAGTTTCTCTCAAAAACTTAAAAAATTGTTACCACAAATGATGCGGGCTATCAAATTTGGACATAACCCTGTAAATACACTAACTTCACCAAGGGTGCTACTTATTAATTTAGCCCAAGGCGTCTTGTCATCGGCAACTTGCTATAAACAATCTCCAATTTAAATTGCAAGAAGTAATATATCTGGGAAGTAAGAGTATAAATGTACAATTATGTTTAGACACGCTTTAACCAACCCCGATGAAACGAAAAAAAAACGCAATAACAGACGTAATTAGATAATACGCTTGGTTTGTAAAGGCAGATATGATGTTAACGGTGTGATAGCGAAAGTTTTAACAGTTGGTGACTAGTTTGAGTAGTTAAATAAAGCTCCAATTTAGGTTGAATTTCACGAATAGAACGAGGACACATCGCATTAATTATTTAACGTAATGCAATATCCTCCCAATTTAAATATATGGAGTTATTGTGAATTAAACAAACACCGAAAACAGTATATCTTACATTAAATCGGAACGTTTGTTGCTATACTAATTCCACGGTAAGCAAGATTTATTAGTAAATTTATAGCCTGTCTGACTATTAAAATGCGCGGATATAATCATAACAGCTAGCGTGGGTTCTATTCATTCTAACGCTTTCTTTGTTTCTATTTTGCAATGGTCCGCAGAGCTCAAGAGAATTTCAGTAATCACGTGAACCTCATTACATCTTC